TTTTTTTTTTTTTTTTTAAACAACGTTACAATTTTAATTTAAAAAAAAAAATATTAGTTTAGCTCAAAATATGTCGCATTTAATTTAGCCCAACAACCTACAGATATTGCGTTACATTTACAAAGTATTTCCGAGCTCCAACGTTACCGGACACCGGAAAAGAAACTTTGAACTCGGTGTGTCGACCAATGAAAAAGATGCAGGCTACCGGTGGTCGACACAGCTGTCTCAGGTTTGTTCACGTTTGTTATGAAAGTTAAGTTCTTCAAGTACTTTAACACTTTATCGCTCACGGCATACTTCCATATCCTCATGGCACTATTAAGCATTCAAACCTGTCGACTTGACTTTTGAGAAAGCTCCTCTCCGTCAGCTCACTGAAGCCAGAAGTGAGCTCGCTAGCTGTTAGCTTGCTACCTAGCTGCAGCTTGTTATACTTCACTGACTGACACAACACCACGTTGTTCATCCGATACGAGCTACATCCAGGTCTTTCACAGCCTGCTAACGAAACCCTTTCTCGGGCAGCCATGCGTGGAGTTAAATGGCCGTCGCTCCGGTTGGGTTGTCGGTCCTCACGCCCGGTTTGATTGCATAATTGTAGCCACCAGCGCTGTGTGTCAGCCACCATCTCATTGCCTGCGCTTGAACTGAGCTGCCACAACGAGCCAGACTCTGTGCACTGCAGTGGATGTGCTGCCCGGCTCCGCAACTAGCAGCTCTCTCTGGTGTATGCAGGGTGATCGTATACTCCCAGGGCTCATAGGAGGTATTCAAACTATGCTTTTTTTTATGCCCCTCTCTCTCTAAACAGATAGTTTGCTGCTATGAAAGGACACTGATTGAAGGTGAGTGCACTTTGGTGTGACAGCAGTGTATTTTGAGCCATCAGTGATGTGTGGGTGGTGATACTTTTAAAGCTAGACTGTTGGGGGAAAAAAAATGTATTTTCTGTGATGAAACTGTTCACAGAGAAATGAGTGCGAGGAGAAGAGGTGGGAAGCCAAACAGAGGAGGGGGGAGATTTAACAAGCCAAGAGGAGGTGGAGGCAGAGGCGGAGGTGGTGGAGGAGGAGGAGGCGGAGGAGGAGGAGGAGGCGGAGGTGGAAGTAGGAAAGGAGGAGCTGCTGGCTGGGATGATGACGATGATTTCAGCCTTGATTTCGGACCCTCTCGCTCCAGCAGGTATACACTTATAGCAAAGGAATTAATTCATTTAAGATTCATCCCGGTGTGCTCATCTTCTCTTTTACCCTCTCCCTCTCTATCTCTCTCTCTCTCTCTCTCCAGACCCAGCAGAGGACGAGGTGGAGGCGGCAGCCGTGGAGGTGGCGGTGGCGGCCGTGCAGGTGGCGGTGGCGGTGGCCGTGGAGGTGGCAGGGATGGAGGTCGAGGAAGGGGAGGAGGTAGAGATCGAGGCAGGGATGTCGGAGGCGATTGGAAAGGCAGCGGCAAGGCTCTCCCAAGGTCCCTGGCGAGGACCAGAACGTGCCCGAAGCCTGCTGACAGCATCAGGCCGGAGGTGAGCACCATGCCCTTGCAGAGGATATTCATGACTAATGAGAATCAAGAACAACTCAAGGAGCTGCTGCGGGATCTGCAGTCCCAGGACTTCGATGAGCCGTATGAGTGAGTACATTTTACTAAGAGGGTAATTGGGGATGTTTTTTTCCACTGCTAGCTCACATGAACTCATATCGTCCTCCATGCCTCAGTGAATCTGATTCAGATTATTCGGGGGGAGAGGAGAATGAGGAGGAATTTGATGAGTTGGACCACCGCGAGGAAGGCCAGTTTTGGGGCACTAATGACGAGCCTGTGGAGAGAGCAGAGAGCCCGGCATATGAGCCATATGAGTCTGGTGATGAAGGGCCCACCCCTGAACCTGTCATCTCCTTATTTGCCATAGGAAAACTCTCCAGGTGATGTACAGATGTGTTTATTTCTTTCATTAGGCAGGAGTTGACAGTTGCTGCTATGATGTGAGTCTTGTAACCCTTTGTTTTCTCATCTTTCCTCTGTGTAGGTACGGGTTTGACAGGGAGCGCAGCAAGCAGGCATTAGAGTCTGGTGGAGGGGAATTCGGGGCCACTTTGGAGCAGCTCCTCCACCAGATTTTCAGCGAGCGCTACGGCCAGAAAGCTGTTTCCCCCGATGGCCTTGAAGCGGTGCCTATGGATGAGTGTTTGAGCCAGAGACAGGAAGAAGCTCTGGCTCTAACTGCCATTTACGGAGAGCGCTTCAATGAGCGCATTGCCAATGCGGTCTGGACAGTAACCCTGGACCTCTCATTCATTAAAGACAATGCTGCCAGGAGTGGCAGGCAAGCGGGGAGTCGAGGCGGTGAAGGAGCTGTTAACATCCGCGACGTCTGCCGGTTCTTCCTGAAAGGGCAGGGTTGCCGGTTTGGGGCAAAATGCAAGTTTAAGCACCAGCTCCCCACTAAAGGGAGACCTGGGGCTGGTTCCCCAGACCTGACGAGCCAGAGCCAGCCTGGCTTCAGCAGCTTCTCTCCTCCTGAGTATGAACTAGAGATCCGTTTCCCCAAAGGAAACCGTTACCCATTTCAAGCACCAATAGTCGCCTTCAGCACCACCGACGAGTCTGTCGCGGCTGCAGGGAGGCTCAGCGTGACTGAAAGATTGTTTGGAGAGGCGCTGGCCGCAGCAAAGAGCAGCGAGCCTGTTGTTTACACTCTGATCACCATATGTGAGGATGAAACTACCATGAATGAACTGCTGGCTGTCGGTCATCACAAATACAGCACGCCGCCGCCTGTTGTGGCGGTTCCTCCACTCTCTCTTCCCATAGCGAAGAGTAAAAGTGTGAAGAGCAATGCTTCTGAGGAAACCAGGAGTAGTAGTACCAGTAGCAGTAATCACACCACCAGCAGAAGGACTGCTCCACCTAACACCCAGAGACCCATAGATTGTGAGTCAACAAGATTATTTACTTTATATTTATTTATTGTCACTATTTTCACCAAGTAAAGCTCAACACTGTGTTTATGTGTATACGTTTACACCGCTTCTGTCTTTAAAGTGAAAGAGACAGCAGAGGCAGAAGAGCTGGATGAGAGGGACGAGGAAGATGAGGAGGAGGCCATTCCAGTCGAGAGTGAGAGTTACGTTAATCTGAGGAAGAAGATGGTGAATAAGCACAACCTGAAGATCGACAACCTTCTGCAAGAAAACGGCAAGCTGTGCCGAGAGTTCCAGAAGAAACAGGTAAAAGAAGACTAACCAATGTCTTATCCTGACCTTTTATTTCACTACAAATCCTCTCCAACTGTATGTGTCTTTATAATACATTGCCGTCCCTCCATCTTTCTGTCCACCTAGTCATCCAGGCGTTTCAGGTCCATGTTGGAGCAGAGGAGAAAACTGCCGGCTTGGAACGAAAAAGAAAACATCCTCGACCTGTTAGACCGGTGCCAGGTGCTGGTGGTCAGCGGGATGACTGGGTATGGGGGAAAAATGCTATTTTAGTTTCCTTTTATTTGGTTGAAGGAAAAACATGCCTACATTCTCTTGCTCGTGCTATTCACACCTGTTTATGTCCTGTTACTTCTCTGCAGGTGTGGTAAGACCACTCAGATCCCTCAGTTCATTCTGGATGCATCATTAAGTGGTGGAGCGCAGCACGTGGCCAACATCATCTGTACTCAGCCGCGCCGTATCTCTGCCATCTCCGTGGCCCAGAGAGTGGCACAGGAGCGTGCAGAGTGTCTGGGCAACTCAGTGGGCTACCAGATCCGCCTGGAGACCGTTAGGGTAGGGGCACATTTGACGTATACATCTAATATGGAGCATAGTCAAAGTATATGTAGCCAAACTTTACATTCTAAAATAATGTTTTGAACCTCTTTTATCACTGACCATTCTCTTCTGTTAGACGTCTGCCACCAGACTGCTGTACTGCACCACAGGCGTGTTACTGAGGAGACTGGAGGGCGAGGCGGACCTCAAAGGCATCACACACGTCATTGTGGATGAGGTGCACGAGCGAACGGAGGAGAGGTGAGATTATGCAGATCACCCTGCACATATGGTGCAGACAGTGTGCATCTACGCTCTTCCTTCGGGCATTTTCAGCTGTCGCTTAACAGCTTTTGCAGTTTATTCATTCTCAGATGTTTCTTTAAGCGGGCAAATATTTATACATTTCTTTGTAGCTGGTTTTTTGGTCACTTTATCTCTTGTTTCATCTTTTCTTTGTCAGTGACTTTCTGCTGTTGGTATTGAAAGACCTGATTGTGCAGAGGCCAGACCTGAAGATCATTCTAATGAGCGCCACACTTAACGCTAACCTCTTCTCTGAGTATTACTACAACTGTCCCACTGTCCACATACCAGGTAATGAATCTGTTTTAGACATGATATGCACATTACAGGTCCAACTCAGACCTCGTGCCATAAATTGAGTGAATTTCTCTCATTTCAGGGCGTACTTTTCCTGTCGACCAGTTCTTTCTTGAAGATGCCATCACTAAAACCCGGTAAGTACATCCTCCTTCACTCCAACAAATATTTAGTAAGTAAAGAAAAACTCACCCAAAAACCCTCATCCAGGACAGACCGACATGCAACAAAAATTACAATATTGACAATCAAGATTTCTAAGTTATACATAGATTGTAGTGAGAGACAACAGGTCCAGATCTAAAACATCCCAATGTTCTTTATTTTCCCAGCTATGTCATTGAGGATGGCAGCCCTTACATGCGCTCAGGGAAACAGAATTCGTCTTCTACAAGCGGGCGAGGAAGCAAAGGAAGGGACATGGTGGACAACTTAGGTGATGACATGTGGAACTTCATGTCTCTCTGTAAGAAGGACTTTGTCAAAGACTCCATTCCAGACCAGCAGCTCAGCCTGGAGGAGCTCACGGTCAGATACAAAGGTGACTTTAGAATAAGGATCATAAACTGAACTGATCTGCTGTATGGGTTCTTAAACTGCCTCTCCTTGGTCTTA